GGGTGCATGAGCCCCTTCAAATCACCGTTTGTCTCCTTTGGATAAATGCCTAGTAGTGCAATTGCTGGGTCATAGGGTAGCTCTATTTCTAATTTTTTGAGAAACCTCCATACTGTTTTCCAGAGTGCACCAGTTTGCATTCCCACCAATAGTGTGAGGGGGCTCCCCCTCTTCCACATCCTTGTCAACATCTGTCATTTCCTAAATTGTTATTTTTAGCCATTCTAACTGGTGTGAGTGGTATCTCATTGTGGTTTTGATTTGTATTTCCCTGATGCTGACTTTAGAATAACAATGGCAACCATATGTTTAAAAAGGCATTGCTTATTATTGTCAATAACCTACAGCATCACAAAAATACTGACAATTATAAATAATAGCAAGACCAGCATCTTGATGAATGCAAAACACATGGAAATAGACTTTGCACTTGTATAGTTCTTTCTGTTTATAACAGTGTGTCACATTTATATTATTTTACTCTCAATTATTTTATTTTTTAAAAGATGTTATTTATTTATTTAACAGAGAGAGCACAAGCAGGGGGAGAAGTAGGCAGAGGGAGAGGGAGAAGCAGATTCTCTGTGGGGCAGGGAGCCATCCAAGGGCCCTGGGGTCATGACCTGAGCCAAAGGCAGTCGCTTAACCGACTAGGCCACCCAGGCACCCCTTTTCATAATTTTAAAAGATAAATGATTTTATACATTACATGTATTCACATAACTAAAAGTCTCTTTTCACTGAAGAAAACTAATCAAGCATCTACATACTCTTCCACCAGTTTAAGTAAGTTGTTTTTCCAATGTTGCTTTTTTTTTTTTTTTTTACTAGGTTCTGTTTCACTTTATTTACTTTCCCTTGTTTTATTCTCTGGAATACTGCTACATCAGGAAAATCTTTATTTTCATGATCAGAACTCTTCTATGTTTTCTTTCCTTCTCCCATTGAATAGGACCATTGAAGTCTTCCTTGGTAACTATGGTATATTCTTCTGTGTATTATAATACCATTCTTCTTGTTTTACCACAGAATGTATTATACTACTCAGGCCATTTTCTTTATTTCCCTAATTTTTACATTCATTCAGAACATAATTATGGAGCAGAGGTAATAAAGATTTAATAAGGGATCAGGTTTAAAATTGTGTTTGCTATATAATAAATGCTGTATTTGAAGACATCAGAAATACATATTCTATGTTTTCATATTTTTTATTACAATTGCTCCTTAGTTGAAACACCTACAAGTGTACGTGTTATCAGTATGTATTTAATAACTATTTGTTACATAGACATATCCTTAAGATATTATCTGCTGAACTGTCTTTAAAATATATCACCTGGGGCAGCCCCGGTGGCCCAGTGGTTTAGTGCCGCCTTCTGCTGGGGGTGTGATCCTGGAGACCCAGGATCGAGTCCCATGTCAGGCTCCCTGCGTGGAGCTGCTTCTCTCCCTCTCCCTCTACCTGTGTCTCTACCTCTCTCTCTCTGTCTGTCATGAATAAATAAATAAAATCTTAAAAAAAATGTATCACCTGTCTACATGAAACTAGAGAGCTACCAAGATTATTTATTTATTTATTAGATAATTAATTTTTATGCTTCTTCATTTAATTTTTCAAACTCTGCCTGAAGTGAAGTTTATTTGTCTTTGTGATGCTTTCATTGGGGCACTGGTATCAGTTACCTCCCCCAAAATTATTGGTTTTATAAAATCTGAGAACACCTGTGTTGAGTGTATTGGTTTATCACTGTACAAGTTATAATTTATAATCTCATTAGTACTGCAATACTTGTTGCTCAAGATTTGTACATATTCTATTTGTGTGTTCAATGATAAATTGTGCTCAGAAAAATGAGTTTCTTAAAGTCATTTTGTGTGGGAATTATCCACCTGTGAGTTTCCATAAAAATTATTTATAGCAAGTGACCACCCTGTGTCTTCCAGAGCCTTCCTTTCCATTCTGCCCCTGGTGCCACTTGCATGTCTCATGATGGCTGTCATGTTAATAATGACATATTGTGTGATTGACCAGGAAATGAAACAATCCTAGTGCCATTTTTACTTGTTTTGTCTTTTAAAATCAGACTCTGAATGAATTACTAAACATATGTGTATTACTAGCTCTACCGTGAAAAGTTGTATTGTTGACTCTTTCACATGGTATTTTCTTAACAATTGTGAAAATAAGCTGGAGGGGTGGATTTTAAGAGATAGTAATAGTTCCAAGGGTAGTCATCACAGTATTATAAACTTCTTTAATGTCTTCATGTGCTCCAGTCACAGATGATATTTGAATGTAATCCAGAGCCATTTCCATCTTGTTCAAATGAGAAAATGGGTCTCGTGGGAATTTTTTTTTTGACTGTGTCCACCTGCCATGAAGTATTTAGCAGATTAGAGCAAATGTTGGGAGGTGCCTCATGTCATCTAATAACACATTTGTTTGCCTTTCCACCTTCAAGGATATTTGAAGGTCGACTTTTGAAGAGAGTGTTTTGTGAACATTAAAATAGCCACATATTTGTATAGAAATAGACAACTTGATTGAAAGGAGGATCTTCCAACCACATAGTTACAAATAAGAAGGAAAGCACAACATGGCAGACCAGTTCTCTGTGTCTGTTCTTTCAGCGTGTGAGGGCTTCATTCACCTCTAAACATCTCACACTTGGGGAGGCCCTGTCTTAGAGTGCCCAGGATCACACTGGAACTGTAAACAGTGCTCAGCAATCCTGTCCTACTTTGAGCACAGGTGAAAACCCAAAGGGGGAGGTCGTGAGAGAAGTGTTTTTTCTTTCCAGAATGTTGCATTCCATAAAGGACTGAAATGTGCAGATTTCTTGATGCTGTTCCTGTACTGAAAGAGAACAACATAATAGCAGTTAAAATTGTCTTATTAGATAGCATTCCTCTAGAATTTCTCATGTCCCCACTGCATGGTAGGGGCAGGAATCATGCAATTGGACTTCACTTCCTTTTCTATAAAATGGAAAGAGTAATGGACACCTCATTCTTATGAGGAATAGGATGTTTTATATACATAAAAGAAATAAATCCTATGGGTAGACAGTTTTTAAGGTCCAACAAATATCTTATCTTTTGATATCTATAATATTAAATGAGAGAAAATGTTTTTCTTTTTACTTCTTGAAGAAAACAGTGATATTTTAGAAAGTTGATACACCATGACAAGTGGCAGAAGACACTGAGAACAGTGGTCCGGGAGGATTAGTATTGCAGTAAAGGGTAAATGGATAATTGGAAGAGTGATTAGTTTGGGTTGTCAACGAGTAATGTGGGAAAACGACTAATATTAGAGGCATGTGGCTAATTCCATCTGCCTCTGGAAAAAGGGAACTGCACTGGGCTTCAGTTATTAATGAAGAAATTATTTTTAACAGTGCCTCATTTTATAGTTCATTTTTAAAAAGCTCAAGCTTAAAACTGGTGAAGCCCAAGCAGTATAATCTCCATTTGAAGGACACCTGGGTGACTCAGTGGTTGAGCGCCTGCCTTCAGCCCAGGGCCTGATCCTGGAGACCCGGGATTGAGTCCCACATCAGGCTTCCTGCATGGAGCCTGCTTCTCCCTCTGCCTGTGTCTCTGCCTTTCTCTCTTTCTGTGTCTCTCATGAATAAATAAAATCTTAAAAAAAAAACCTCCATCTGAATAAGCATTCAAACATATATAGAAACAAAGGGCTTCAATGACCAGAGTCCTGCCTTCTCAATGTGGAGAATTTTCCGGAGGTCCAGAGGAGGAGATGTGGCCACACTTCAATTGGACGCAGGTGCAGTTTCCTTCTACAGAGAAGGAAAAAATGTCTGGACTTAGCCAGCATTGGTTTGCCGTACCCCATGGCGACTGCCAGTCGTTTGCAGGCTTTTGTCTATGCTTTGTGTACTACTTGACTCAGCTTGAGCCAAAAGAATCAGCAGCTGAGGCTGGAGTCTACCTTTCTGCAGAGAGTGTAATGTTTGATGTTTCTGAACATTTTTGCAACACGTAACCCCTACCCCGAGCTCCTGCTGCCTTACAAGCTCTTCTCACATGAAAGTACAAGACTCTAAAATGGTCCCTTCCACACACTATACTCCCATTTAGGAGGCAAGCAGACAGTGTTTTCTGACAGCTGGTTGTCCATCTGGTGTTTGATGTGTGGCAGAAAAGCACGGTGGGGTAATAAGGGAGATGGATGTTTCTCTAGGTGACAACCTGGTGTTCCAGAGAGCAGACTCCCTTGGGCTCCCTGCCCTTCTGCCCTGAGTGCTGCCTCTCCCCACAGGACCACAGGCTCTGTCTTCTTGGTGCAGTGCAGCTAAGTTCTCTCTACGTACCTACCTGGCTTTTCATTGATTCGCAATATTCTGATCACAACAAACGTTTCTGTCACTTTGTTATGCTGCTGTCAGCATGAATGCATTGGTAAAGGTTTGTGACAACTTCCAGCTTTTCCCCATTTTTATTCATGCCTGAAATTCTCCTTTATTTTTATTCATTTGTGAATGTTATCTAGTCTCTGTTCTACAAAACTAGGACCAAATATAATGTTTTTAAACTTTGATAATCTTCAGTTTGCTGTGTTTGAAGTTTATAAACAGTTTGAATATCTGCATACACATTGCTATATTATGAATATCCAGTTTAAGAATTATTTGGACAGTTAAATTCTGAAACAATTACATTTTTCAAAATTATACTTGGTATCTACAAAAAATGGTTTGGACTTTTGACAGATAAATGCTTTACGAGCTATAAAATGTGAATGAAGCATGAATTATTTAAACATCAGAATCGTCTGAATTCCCTTAGTGATAGGACTATTTTGAAGACAACAAATACACACTTAGGAAAACCAATCATGTATACACTTAATTTTTTTATTTTTATTTTTTTCATGTATACACTTTAAAACATAGAAAATATTTAAATTTTATCCTCAGTCTTAGTGTTACCTTAAAATAAGCATTACTTGTAATTGATTAAAGAAAAGCATCTAAGGCTGTCACTTGAAGATTTTATTTACTTATTCATTAGAGACACAGATAGGGAGGCAGAGACACAGGCAGAGGGAGAAGCAGTCTCCATACAGGGAGTCCGATGCGGGTCTCAATCCCCAGTCTCCAGTATCGGGCCGTGGGCTGAAGGTGGCACTAAACCACTGAGCCACCCGTGCTGCCCTAAGGCTGCCACTTGAAAAGGAGCAACTCTTGTGAGCTATAATTATCAGAAAATGTACTCCACTAGGAAGAAGAGGAGCATCCCAAGGGCAGCCTTGCCTTCTCACTGGGTTTAAAGCCCCTCTTCAGGATTGATGAGCACTTTGCTGTAAAGATGATATCAACCTGCTTTTTCCCCCATCCAGCGTTATTTTCTCTGCTTTGATTCCTCCTTGTATTATTCTTTGTCCATTGGCAGTGAGAGTGAAGCCATGGTGATTAGCTGGGGCCTGGCATCTAGTCTCAGGAATCCTTTAGTTCAGCAGATGGGAGTAAACAGCCCAGGGATGGCCAGTGTCAGCCAGGCCCGCTCTGGGCCTTGCTCCCACCTCCTGTGTTGAAAAAATCAAGTCCTCCTTAATTTTTCAAGAAGACTTGAAGAAGTCTTCTGTCTCCTTGTCCTCCTCAAGGAGACAGAAGAAAACAATGGATTGAATTTTCTTGTTGGTTGTGAAGCCAAATTGGCCAGATGAGGAGTGTACCAAAAATGCAAATCTTTGCTGTGAAATTTATGGTTTCAAATAAGTGATTCAAGGAGTACTTCTGAGTGTTAGTACATAGCTGTTTGTCTTATTCAAAATGGAAGAGGAAATCTCCTGTTTTAAGCAGCACAGTTTTGGGCACCTGGGTGGCTCAGTGGTTGAGCATCTGCCTTTGGTTCAGGTCGTGATCCCGGGGTCCTTGTATCAAGTTCCGCATCAGGCTCCCTGCCTTTGACTTGACTGTAAGTGACAAAAAACCCAGAATGATGGTGGTTTAGGTGTGGCTTCTTTTATTGTTCTTCCATACATGGTGTCCATTCCCAAGGTCATTCATGGTCTCAAGTGGTTATTTTACCCCTAGCTATCACATCCACATTTCACATAGCAGAATAAAGGAAACAAGAAAGAGTAGGTAAAGGGCACGTGTCAGTTGTCTAATAAGAAAGATTCTCAGGAGTTGCCACATCACACTTCTGCTTTTATCTTATTGGTCAGAACTTATCAGGCCACAATGGGCTGCAAATGAGGGTCAGAAATGTATTCTTTAATCTGCATGTCCATGTGCCTAGCTAAACTTTTTACCACTATGGACTAAGTGAAGCATATATAGTGAGCAACAAGAACCAGTCACTGCCACATTCTTGTACCTCTCAGCCACCTCTCTTAGAAGCCACCAGCAGACTTCCCCTATGTTTTATTGGCCAGATAAGCATTGCATGCCCATGCCTAGGCCATTTTTGGCAAAGGAATGGTACCATCATAATTAGTTTGTATCAATCAAGACTCACCATCTAGATTTGGGCCTGGGATTATCCTCTCCCAACGGACATGGCTTCCAGAAAGACAGAGGACATCTGTAAGAAGTCAGAGCTCATAAGAGGCCTAGAGTGGATATGGTAGGCAAGATCACCTGCACACCTTCTGTATGGAATACAACAACATCCTGTATGGAATACAACAACTCTGATTTTAGGTGTAATTGAAATATCTATGGTGGTTCTTATTACAGTTTCATCTCTTCACAGCTCCCAAAATAAATAATGGATTTATTGTGTATTTGTATGTGGGGAAGGGTGGGAGAAGGTGAGAGGAACAGTCCAATCAGACCCAGCTCCCTCAGTATGTATTCTCTCTGTCTACTTAAGAGTTCATTTGAATAAAGTTCTGAATATTAAAATTGTTTGCATTCAGAAATTGGAATTAGACAAGCTTCCCAGGAAAAATATAACTGTTCCTTACTTAGGGTGAATGAGGAGGATCCCTGAAGAGTATAAGACAGAGAAAACAAATTGGCATTTAGAATTTAGGACATATTTTTAAAAAAGATTTTATTTATTCATGAGAGACACACACACACAGAGAGAGAGGCAGAGCCATAGGCAGAGAGAGAAGCAGGCTCCATGCAGGGAGCCTGATACGGAACTCGATCCTGGGACTCCAGGATCACACCCTGGGCTGAAGGCAGACGCTCAACAGCTGAGCCACGCAGGCATCCCAGAATTTAGGTCATATTGGTTAGTGGCATGTACTCATTTTTTTTTGCCACACATGAACTTTTTGGGGAGGAAGGAACAGACAGGTGAAAAAAGATGAAAAAAAAAAAAAAGGATGGAAGACAATGGCCATGAATGAAAGTAGATGAGAATGAAACAATAAGAGAGCACATATGTGAGGGGGAGGGATGGGGCTATGTGCTTTTGTCACTATTTTGTTGCTATGGTAACGAGGCAAAATTGGGTTGATGCTGCTCTATTGGTTTTATTTTGAATGGAGGACCAAATATGGGCAAGCAGAATGACAAATTAAGTCTTCAGTAAACCAAAGAGACAGTCTAACTGTATTTCCTCTAAAAATTCAATATAAGAATGCCTACATTCTTTTGAAACAATAAAATCTAAAGAAGATTCTGTATACTTATACAATAATATTGAAGTTTCTTCTTAGGAATTAATAGTGAATGAAAACTTCTAAATTATAAAATAGATGTTCACCATCGAAAAAAATTTAAATACATAAAAAACCAAAGAAGATTATAAAAAAAGACAGTTGATCTTATTTGTTAATGTTTCCATGCATACCTCTTCAGTGTTTTCACTTATATATTTTTGCCGATTGGGATCACATTTTATTATTGCCTGTTGAATATTTAATTCCAGTTCTTCACTGTCTTAGCTTGGGCTGCTATAACAAATTACCACAGACAGGATGGCTTAAACAAATATTTACTATTTCTTACCATGCCAGAGGTTAGAAAGTAGACAATCAAAATGTTGGCAAGATACAGTGTCTGGTGAGAGCCCTTTTCTTAAGAGCTCCATCCTCATGACCTAATCCCTCCCAAAGGCCCCACCTCCAAAAACCATTAGACTGTTTGTGGATTAGGGCTTCAACATTTGAATTTTGGAAAGACAAATATTCAGTGTGATTACAAATAAGCTTGTACACACTGTTACATATAAGATTTCAAAGAAGATGTTTTACATACCTTTTTTTTTTTTTGCCCCTCCATAAAGTACCTAGAGCAACTCTTGACACATTTTAGCCATTCAATAGATAGGAATTCCTATTTCCATTAATAACCACACATAAATTTAGTGTGGTCTAATATTATCTGTTGACTTATTAATTGGGGTTCCTCTTCAACCATTATAGAAGGTACCCTGCAGGAGTCCTGTTCAAGTGGATGGCTGGAGGGTTAGCAAGCCTCTGCCAGAGGGTCCCACAAGGTGGCCTTTACTTTCCTATGGTTCTCAAAGCTGAGATTTTGTACACATATGCAGTCAGACTTGGAGATGCCAACCCACATAACTAAACTCACAACAGAGATAGCCAAATTAATACAAAATCTCTAATTGGCAACAAGAAATATAACTGCTAGGAAGATGGTGTATTTTCATCTGCAAAACTAGTACATTGTCTTAGAGTCAAACAGCAACTACTAAAGTGAAACTCAGAGGTCACTAACACAGAATCAGGTAAAATACTAGTGTGTATGGAGCCTTGTCATTCAGAGAAGTCACTGTCTTTCCTAAACAGTCCATACACTCTATCTCTAGTACTAGTACCTTCTCCTCTCTCATCTGGAAGTCATCCTTAACATCTCCCTCTCCCTTACCCCCAAACACAAATAGTCACTAAAACTTGTTAATGCTACTTTATAAATATTTGCAAATTTCTTTTTTTTTTCTATTTCCACTGCTGCGGCCTTGGTACAATTCTTTATCACAAGCTCTTAACTGGTCTTCTTGCCACCAGTCTTAAAAACTTCCAATCTATTCCATTCTGTTCCTATGTTCACCCTCACCCTGGGGAGAATGAGCTTTTTCCTTCAGCACTTTAGAGTGTGCTCCTGCTCCCACTGCAGCAGCCCCTTCTCTGGACACCCTCCCTGCTCTCCAGCCACACTGAATAGCCTGCAGTTGCCTGAACTGTGTTCTCTTACTGTGCTAGGCTGCTCACTTTGCTTAAAATACCTTTTTTATTTCTGTCTTTCTTTTTAATGGCTAACTCCTTTTTGTGGTTTAAGGTGGGAATTGGGTGTTGCTGCTCCTTGCATCCTTTGGTGAGTTTTCATCTGTGCCTGCCTGGTTGGGATCTTCCAGACACACTCTCACAGCACCATGGTTTATGCTAGCAGAGTACTCACAGCCCTACACTGTGAAAACACATATATTTGTCTTTTTTCCCTACTAAACTTCAAATTCTTTGAGGAAAGAGATTGGATCTTGTTCAAGTTTGTATTCCATTCCCTGGTTTGGAGTCTGACACATAGTAGACCATGAATAAACACCTATTGAAGAATAAATAAATAAATAAATGGGTGAATCCAGGGAAGATGTCCCATTAACTTTAGTACTTTGGCTTTGTGAACCCACTCTCTTCTTGAACGATGATGGTTCACTGAAGCACTGCTAGATCAAGTCTTCTCTGAATACTATATTCTCATGAAAATGTATTTTGCTATCAAAGCTGGAAAATAGAGGTCATCTTTTTTCCAGATAAAGAAACTAAGGCACAGACAGATTATATGACACTCAAGGGCACACAGCAGAGCCAAGCTGGGTTAGGATCCTGGCCTCCTCTGTCCTCTCTTTATTTTTTCCCCTGCTACTAAGCTCTTTCCCTCAGGCATCTGTAATTTCAAATACTTCTGATCTTGTTTCTTTGAAGAATGTGTTGAATGCTTTTAGCCTTAGGAAATAAACACTCCCAACCTGCAGACAACTCCCAACAGATATTTAACTCCTTTCTGAAATGATTTTACTTCATATTTTAGGCAGGAGGGTTAAACAGAACACCTTCTAATTCAGCTGACCCTGGCCTCCTCCATTCACTTCAAAAATTCTGCAGAGGGAAAGTCACCTTCTCCTCTCATCTGGCTGGGAACATGAACATGGTCTCTGAGCTAGGATCCATTTGGTTGGATAATGCACTTCCCTGGTAGGTTTTTATAAAAATCATTCAAAATTTAGTCACGACACTAAAGCATTTGGTGCTGGAGGTGGTGAGGTAGGTGTTCAGAAAATAAAATGGAAAGCTGAGAGCTGTTTCCACGATCATTTTTCATAACAGTTCAGGCTTCTTTTCAAGCCAAACCTGGTTTTAGTGCCTACTTCTATTTCCTTTTCTCCCCTAGTCATTCTATGTATCTGGCCATTTCTGTTTAAATGATCTCTCTTGATTTGTCTTCAGTTTATTTCTCTGATTACTGTACTTACTGCTTATGGCATTTAAATATGTTTAGCAAGTCAGCTTGACTGAGGTGTCTTTTAGTTATACAACAAAATCCCCAGTTTAAATATTTGATTTATTAGAATTGTTAAATTCAAAAGACTGTTGGGAATTATATATTATTTTTAAAAAGAGGATGTCTTATAGATGGCTAGTCTATCAAATGATTGTTTTTATTATTTCTCAGGAGTTTTCATATTTCTTGTGATCATTACAGATGTTTACTCATCCAAAGAATAACCTTAGAAAAAAAGCCATAAACCCAAACTTAGGGGAAAGCTGATGGTGGAGGCTTACCATCCTACTGAGGCTTCTCTAGGGTTCACTTTGAGCCAGATTGCCCACAGTGTGTATATATATGCTGTGTGTATGTACATATGTACTCATATACAGATCTATTAAATATATCCACCATGCCTGCTTGTTGGAATATTAGGTCAAAGCACCCTAAGAAACACTCTCTACTAAGGACTCTCTACTAAGGAATAATTTTGAGCACTGTGGGTAAATTCCAAGGCAGATTAATTAAAATCATTGCATGAACAGCTATTTCTTTTTCATATCAAGCATTTATCAGAGTTTGACCTTTCTTTAAAAAAAAAAAGGCACTCTAAATGTTTACTAATAAAACCTTCAGAATCAAAGTCTTGCTAACTAGTAGTTGAGAAATAAAAATTCTAGGTGCTATGCCTAAGGTTCGTGATTACACAATAGAGAAGAAACAATTCTGGACTGATGATGCCCCTGAATTCCATGGCAGCCCCACCTGCTAGGTGGAGGTCTGAGCATCCTCACAGATTCCTTTCCCTGGGCCGGTCCTTCCCAGCAGCCTCCAAGAATAACTGTCCAGGCAGCCTCAAGCTTCCAGTAGGGGGTGCCGTTGTCTAATATAAGGCCTATTGTTCTCAATACAATTTGGTTATCTTTCAGATCATTTCTAACCTTTGCCCTTTCCCAGGATTAAATCTGTTTAAATTAATATGGGTTATTTGCTCTTGAGTTTAATGTGAATTTAATCTTATGTTACTGTCTAATACGTTACAGTGCTATTTTGGTGGCTGCTGCTGTACTGATTAGCATTAATTTCCCCAGAATATGTTCTGAATATCAGTGAGCCTGTTCAGTAGAATCAATGATAATTTTGTTTTAAAAACAGTGAAATATTTGATCACTTTATAAAAATGCATGGAAGTGAATTTTGAAGTGATCAGTTTGGGAATCAAATGAAGACTTTTGAGAGGAAATGAAATACTGGTCTTACTATACAGGTTCTGCCTTTAGAATTTTATTTTTCTGCTGGTGAGATGCATTATATTTGCATTTTTGAGCCTGAGTAATTTTAATTCCATTTTTATTGTACAAACCCAAGAGGAACATTTACTTTGTTTTCATTGATTAGTTATACAATTATTCTTTTCAGATACTACAAGAACCATGAACCATAATATTATATTCCTTGCTAATACATTTGGCAAAAGTATTTACATGAAAACACAATACATAAATGTAATGACTTTCTCAAATGAGTACATTGTTGCCAATCACCTTTATTTTAATACAAGTAAAATTCATTAAATTTTTCTCAATTAGCAAAGCGACTTTTCCAAATGAACTACTGAAGGAAAAACATTGCCTGTTTTATCCTAACCCAGCTGACTGGCCTTTTATTACTAGATGCATATTTAAGGAGGAGGGAAAAAAAAGGAAGGTTTTAATTTTAATACACTGGATGCAATGCTGACTTCTAGGAGATTAGGTATGCTTCTGATACACTTAGTTTCTTTTTGGTTAGTTTCAAAGTAGAAGTTAGAGTCAAAGGCAAAAGCCTGTCAAGCAAAGATTCTACCTTCAAGACTCTCATGTTGAAAGACAGAACTTGAAGGCCCAAATGAACAAATCCTCTGAATTGCAAAACTTAATTTAAACAAAAGAATATTGTATTTGTCCCCTTTCACTAAAATGCTTAAATCTCTCCATAAGTCTAATAACCAGATTAAGTCATTTGACACAGACAGTTGAGTTGAGCCTTGTATCTGTAAGTGCAAATGTAGCTTTTTGGAAAAAGAATACAATTAACTTTGAATTCACATTTATATAGTATAGATTTCAGATTAACTCTTTTTAAAGTAATTTTTTAATTCTAGTGTTGGTTATTCTTTTTATGTGTAGAGTGAAAACATCTTTTTTTCAAGTAAAGAAAAATGACACAGCTATGCACACACAATGAGTCAAGAGTATGGGATTTATAAAATCTGTTAGATATTCCTTTTTTTTTTCTGTTAGATATTCCTAATAAAAATGCAAAATACTAAGAAGTTAACTATCCTATGTATATATGGGGTTTCTGCTCTTAAAATACTTAATATCATTGAATTTAATTCTTGGAATACCTGTTTAGCATTCTTCAGATGGATTGTAAAATGTGAGTCAAATAATATTTCTAAGGATATAAGGTTAAGACTGAAAATTCCAATTTCTAATACTGTTGTTCTTCAAGGATAAGGGGCAACTAATACACTCTGTCTTGTAAGAAGCTAGAGAGTAAGGTGTTAAAATAAAGTCTACATTAGTCCCGAGGAAACTTACCGAAATCTCTTTCCTGATATTTCCAATAGCTCTTAAATTGACAGAGGGGTGGAGTCCTAAAAGAAAAAGAAAAAAGAATCACAGCATTAAATTAGGGGTATATGATATTCTCTAATAAAAAGAACCAGGCTCCTTGGGGAAATGGCTGATTATAGGGCTGAGGGAGAAAAATATTCAAGATGAACTCAGGGCATCCTGTAATGCCAGAAACTAGGGAAGTACTGAAAACACAAACAGGAAATGAGGCATAACAAAGGGAAATAGGAGCCAATCGAGAAGAGCTACCAATGGACAAACCTGGAAAATTTAAGCAACAAAATAAATAAGGTTGTAATAGCTTATAATCCAAAAATAATAAAGAACCATGAATACACAATTGAACAAATAAATTAAAAAAGGAGAAGGGAATAATTCCAAATGCTTTATATAGATACTCCCCACCCATCTTAATTCCTCACCCCTGTGTGTGGGCTAAGCTTAGTGATCTGCTTCTGAAGAATAGAGTGTGGAAAGGAGAAATAAGTAACTTTACATGGATAAATGTGGCAAATGCTATCTGGGCCAGGGCATCGTAGTTAACATCATCAGTGATGTCATTGACAATATGTACTCCAGATATGATGTGACAAAAATGACATTTCATCTCCCCGGTCTTCCTCCCAAATACCCATAATCCCTAGTTTAACCATGATAATAAACATCAGACAAACCCACACTTAGGGACATTCTACAAAATACTTTATCAACACTCTTAAATTGGCCAAAGTCATCAAAAACAAGAAAAGTCTGAAAACTGTCACAGACCAGATGAGGCTAAAGAGACATGTATGTAATATGATATCCTAGAGCATGACCCAGGAACAGGGAAAAATTAATGAAAGAACAAACTATGGAGTTTACTTTATAGTAAAGTACTGATGTTGATAATTAAAAACAAACAAAAGGTATTTAAGATCTTACTTCTGTTACATAGGTCTTGATAGGTTTGGAGGAAGTTGAGAATGGGGAAACAGGAAAATGTGACACAAGGACTAATCCTTCCTTTCAACAGCATAAATATTTTAAATTATCATATAGCAAAACTGACTTTTTTTTAAAGAAAATATGTGAAAAAAATGCTCCCATTCCACACCCCCAATGTTTCACCCTTCTGGATATTAGTGATCATAATGCAAATTGGATTTGAAGAAGGCTTACGTTTTGTATTAAGCTAATGGTTGACACAGTAGATGTGTCTGACTGGGTGAAATACAGGTTAGAATTGTGATTCTGACATAACCTACAGGAGCATTTGATAGCTTTTATCCCAAGAATCTATTTGCCTCTTGAATGTTTAGAATTCCCACTCTACTGGACTCCCAAGTTTTTAAAATTGTCTACCCTACCTTTCTTTGGGTGGAGGATCTCCTCCAGTAGTTACATGAAAAAGGATACACAGGAAACAGATTTTGAGGAACTTGAATCTCTGAATATGTCTCCTTTAAGTGATATTTTGAGCTGAGAATGCTAGAATGGAAATTATATTCCCTTATAATTTTGTAGGAAATATTCCATTTTCTTCTAACTTCTTGTGATCTCTAGAGGAGTCTTATTTGCTTCTCAATCTTGATTGTTTATATGTAATGTTTTCTTTCTCTAGAAACACTGTGAATCTTCTCATTGTCCTCTAAGTTTTGAAATCTCATATTTAGGAGCCTAGTATAAAGTCTATTTTTTATTAATTTATTGGACATTTTCAATGTGGAAATTCATGTTCTTCATTTATTTTTGGAAAATTTTTATGAACATTTTTGTTGGTGATTTCTACCTCTTCATCGTCCCTGTCACCCTATTATTCAGGTATTATATCTCCTTGTATGCCTCTAATTTTCTTAAGCCTACTCTTGTATTTTCTACTTGTATTTTAATCTGATTTCTGGGAGAGTTTCTCAATTTCTCTTCTAATCAATTTATTGAATTTCTCATTTCTGTTATCATACATTTAATTTTCAAGAACTTTTTTTCTTTTACATTTTCCTGAATGTTTCTTTTAATAGAATCTCCTGTTTTATGGATGCAATATCATCTTTTATTTCTTTTCTTTTCTTTTTTTTTTTTTTTAATTTACGATAGTCATACAGAGAGAGAGAGGCAGAGACACAGGCAGAGGGAGAAGCAGGCTCCATGCACCGGGAGCCTGACGTGGGATTCGATCCCGGGTCTCCAGGATCGCGCCCTGGGCCAAAGGCAGGCGCCAAACCGCTGCACCACCTAGGGATCCCTCATCTTTTATTTCTCTGAAGATTTTAATAATAGCTTTTTAAAAAAGTTTTCATCTCATCTCCCTCTATAGTCTTTGTTTCCTCCAAATTGCAACTTGTTTTTTTTCCTTTGGTTCATTTTGGACTTTATCTTTTATGATGGAAACTTCCTTTAGATATCTAAGAATCCTTAGCTGCTTGATAATAATTAAGAATTGATCACTTAAAAGCTCAATGAAGGTTCTCTGGTTAGCCTGAGAGGCTTGATGGCTATGGGTCTCACTAGAGAGTGATCAGGATGTTCTGTTTATGAGAACTCCCAGCCCACATCAGGTCATTTTTATTGGTGGGGTCAGATTTCCAAAGAAGAACTTTTATTAATCCTCCCTGAATTTATAAAGTGGTCTGCTTTCTGCAAGCCAAGTTGAGAGGCATGCTGGCAGTAGTTTTGACATTTAGTATGTATACGTATTTCACTTCATTCTTCTATTTTCAGTATCAGGCTAACATTATTAACTGCTTCTGGCCAACCCTCCTGCAAAGTCCAAAGACCTTTTTTCTCCTCCCTCTGTAGGAATCAGGAAGTGGTTCTCTGCCAGTAGAAGAAGGGATGGGATCTAGTTACATCCTTCTACCACTCTTCTCGTTCAGAGTTCATCTTCATATACATCTTCCTAAGGATCTGGGGCCATTAATTCCTGAGGCTTTAGAAATTTAATGTGCAAACCATGCTGGGTTTTTTTTTGTTTGTTTGTTTGTTTGTTTGTTTTTTTGCTTTTCCACCGTTGTCTTAAGACTCAACTTTCTCTGGGTTTACTAGGTGAGAAGCCTGTTGTCTTGCTTTCCAGCCTCTAACATACTGTTGCTATCATCTTCTTTCCTATTGTCTTTGAGTCTTTATAGCTTTTGAAAAAAAAAAAAAAAAACAACTCTCCTCAAAACCATCCTTATAGGGATCCCTGGGCGCGATCCTGGAGACCCCAGATCGAATCCCACGTCGGGCTCCCGGTGCATGGAGCCTGCTTCTCTCTCTGCCTGTGTCTCTGCCTCTCTCTCTCTCTCTCTCTCTCTCTCTTTCTCTCTGTGTGACTATCATAAATAAATAAAAAAAAATTAAAAAAAAAAAGAAAACCATCCTAATATAATACTTTCTGTGAGTTTTGGTAAGGGTGTCAGAGGAAATGTGTATGTTTAACCTGCTACCTTTAAATGCAAATCCTACATGTGTTTATTGGGCACCTACCTAGAACTTGGGACAGAACTTTAGTCTGTTGTTGCCTTGTGGAAATGAGCAGTTCAAGTTGTCCAGGGGGGATCCCTGGGTGGCGCAGCGGTTTGGCGCCTGCTTTTGGCCCAGGGCGCGATCCTGGAGACCCGGGATCAAATCCCACATCGGGCTCCCGGTGCATGGAGCCTGCTTCTCCCTCTGCCTGTGTCTCTGCCTCTCTCTCTCTCTGTGACTATCATAAATAAAAAAAAAAATCAAGTTGTCCAGGGAAACCAGAAATCTGTATTTAATATGAAATATTGAAATGATATATTATAAATACTAAAATGTTAATATGAAATAGCCCAATATAAAGTTTTTAAATATTACCAAGTAGTTAAAACTAAACACTGTGTGAAGAAAACATTTGTGAACCAAACTGAATTGTAGATTTCCAACCTATGCCACAGTTCTCTTTTTCCTGGGTTAATTTTTTGAGATTATTATTATTAGGGTCACTCATTCATAATTTTCATGGCACCCTAAATTTTGGTGTTAATTTCTGGGGAACAGTAAGCTTGTAAATATGTGAATAAAGATTTGGATCTACTAAGAAGGGAGCCTAGAAATTCTATATATTCTTTGCCATGAAGCAAAGAATATATAGAACATCAAAGAATATATAGAACATTATTTTCTCATATAGAGTTGACCCAACTCCTTAAAATCAACCTGATTTTCCAAGGTCCTTCTGATCAAAATGGATCCTGAAATATTAACTAGCTGCATGAAGTTTTCTATCTATTGTTAGGAAAAAGATTGAAAAGATATATTGTTAGGTAAAAAAAAAAAAAAGCAAGTTGGAGAACAATATGTCTAATATGATACTTTCTGTGGTAAAACAGAGAAAATATAGATGTATTTTTATAGTTGCTGGTACATGCATGAAGAAAACCTGTAAGGTTACATACAAAAATTAAGAATGACCATTATTAACCTGTGGGGTGGGAATGGGCAGATGAGACAATATGGAGAGGAGGCTTTTGCTTTATGCCATTTTCTTCAGGTATGATAATCACCTTTTTGGAAAAATTAAATTAAAAATCATATTTTAATGATAAGTTCATATCCATCTAACTTAAATTTGAAAAGAGTATTTTGTCAGCTTATGTACTGGGATTTCTGTCAATTCTCAGCTCCTGGATGTTGGCTGCTCTCTCTTGCAGCAAATGACTGCCTCAAATGTTCAGTAAAAATGGCCACAAGATGCATGATTATCATAGGCTTTTGTTACTCTGATAGCTTCCCAAAGAGGAAGAGAAAATTTTTTCCTTCTCTGGCAGTAAAGGCCCAAGAGCTCTGAGCCATCTTTCTTGATCCCTGAACCAATCACTGTGGTCAGGAGTTAACATACTGTATTCTGATTGGCCATGCCTAGGTCACATGGGGTTGCCCTCACTTGGACCACACAGAAAGGGGAAGAATATTCCCTCAGGCTAGGGAAGATGTGTAACAAACACTTATCTTCTATAGAGCTAAATGTGCTTAAAACAAGAACAAACTTACAGGCTCAGATCTCTATATCTAGACTTGCTGCAGAACCCAGGGA